CGCCTGCTGCTCCGGGTCCGGGTGCTGCTGCTGCTGCTGCCGGATATGCAGCTGCCGGTGCTGGTGGAGCTGTTGCTAGCGCTGGTGGAGCAGCGCTGCTGCTGGCGCCGCCTGCGACTCAAGAAGTGGTGGCCGAGGGGGCATTGAATCCCCTGCTGCTGCTGCTGTGGGTTGCAATTTAGTTGCATGAAGATAAAGACTTTAGTCATATGTGGCATTTAGATTTGGTTAGGCAATGACAATTGTTAATGCAGTTTTTATTTTTCTAATTTTTTTCCCACCATTTTTATGATAATGTTATCCAGGACTTCCTGTCCTTCTTGCGTTCTACTTCATTGTTCTATTTTCATGAAGTAATTTTTGTAATATTATTTTTTAAATATGGAAGGAAAGGAAGTTGTCAAATGCTTTCTTTTCATTTTTCTACTTGACATTTTTTATGCTTAACCGACCTTTGAAAGGCTGGTTTTCCTCTTTATTGTCATCATTATTATTTATTAAATTTAAAAGTAGTAAATTTAGTGATATTGTTTCTACTTTTGTGTTTTATTTGGTGACAATGTTAAGATTATATGTTACATTGTTTTACAAACAGGATGGAACCCGAAAATGAGGAACGAGATAGAACGACGCCTTCAAGGCATCGACGGAGATTTAAGGCCGCAATAAGTCAAGCGACGGCTGTACATGCATATCAATCTAGTAACATAGTAAGAAGGTCGATGCACAATTCTTCTTTAAGGGGCATGGACAAGGTAAATGAGCTATTAGCAAACAGTAATGAAACAACAATATTTAACAAAGTCCGTATAGGACCACGTGATTTTATGATTCTATGTGAAATGCTAACTGAGAAAGGTTTGCTACGACCCTCATACAACATGAGCGTACCTGAACAATTATTTGTGTTCTTAACAATCGTTTCACAAAGTCAAAGTAATCGTGAATCACAAGACGCCTGGCAACATTCAGGGGAGACCACATCATGTAGGTTTACTGAAGTTTTAGATGCTATTTGTGAACTACATGAAGATTTCATTAAGCCTCCAAATTATGACAAAGTGCCTGAATTTCTACGTGACAACCGTCAGAGATATGGTACATGGTTCGACGTAAGTTGTGTTACTCTTTTACGTATAATTTTTAACTATTTATCATTCATATTCTTAATAATACGTCGATAAATATGTTTACATGAAACTTATGTGCAAAACGTGTGCTTGAAATGGTCAGGATTGTGTAGGTGCAATTGACGGTACTCATATACCTTGTACACCAATTGGTGTACCTAATCCAACGGCTTATCGAAATAGGAAGGGTGTGAACTCGCAGAACATATTGGCTGCTTGTTCATTTGATATGAAGTTCACATATATATTATCCGGTTAGGAAGGTTCTGCCCACGACGCTCGAGTGCTAAATGATGCGCTAGACAATCCAGAGTTTCAGTCCCACGTCCCCCACCAGGTTACACTTATGTCTATTTATTGTTACGAACCTTCAATTCGCAACCTAATTTGGATATGTTGCACAGAAAAATACTATCTTGTTGATGCTGCATATGCGAACCATGAGTGTTTTCTCGCTCCATACAGAGGTGAGACTTACCATTTGCCTAATTACAGAAGGAGAAGTGGTGGATTTCAGGGACCCAGGGATATTTTTAACTATAAACACTCATCATTGAGAAATTGTATACAGTGAACATTTGGGGGTTGGAAGGCTAGGTTCCCTATCCTAAGGCGGCCGAATAATACATATCCAATGGATAAACAGAAGAAAATTCCAGTTGCCTGTGCAATACTACATAATTTTATTCACATGGTTAATCAGGGGGATCCACTTCTAAATCAATACCACTGTGATGGTGTACCTATAAGTGAAATAGATCCAAACAATGATGACGAATTTGATGACGATAATAATGATGGCAATGTCCCTGAAGGCCCAGTTGTAACAGCAGGTAGTGTTAGTCGTACAGAGATGGGTCGTTTTAGGGATCGGCTTGCGAATGAAATGTGGGTAGAATACCAGGGAAGCCGTGGAAGACAAGTTTAGTCATAATTCGTGTATTCACTATTGTAAACAAAAATTTTTGACGTTAATATTTCGTGTGTTAGCATTTTTTTGTCTCTAATATTTCATTTTCTAAATTATAATTTTTAAAATTACATGTAACATAATTTTTAGGGCTAAAATGTGGTTATAATTTTTTTCATGGTTCAAATCATAAAACAAAACAACCAAACACTAGTTCGAATCATGCTTGCACACATCCAAACAAAGGTTCTAATCACTCTGAATCATGATTCAAATCATGAATCATGATTCAAATCATGAATCATGATTCAAATCATGAATCATGATTCAAATCATGAATCATGATTCAAATCATGAATCATGATTCAAATCATGAATCATGATTCAAATCATGAATCATGATTCAAATCATGAATCATGATTCAAATCATGAATCATGATTCAAATCATGAATCATGATTCAAATCATGAATCATGATTCAAATCATGAATCATGATTCAAATCATGAATCATGATTCTGAATCAAATGATTTAAATCACCATGATTTCAATCCTTACACCAAACGGGCCCTTAATAGAGACACTATTTAGAGAAACTTTTTGAGTTTATGAACTATTCATAAGATAAAGTGACTACAAGAACTAATTAAAGAAAAAGAAAAAAAAATCAAGAACTATTTATGAATTTAACTCATTTCTTTTTAGTCAGAATTAGAAAAACAAAAATTAAAAAAAAATCCATGAAAATTCTCAAAATAAAAGGATTAAATTTCAAATCTAACCCCTGAAAAATAGAGGTTGTCTTACTTCTCCCCTCTCTTAGTTTAAACGGTTACAAAATTGACTCCAAACTCGTTAGAAGTTTCAATTTTAATACATTTATCATTAAAACATCATTTCTTAGGAGTTTTAAATATGTGTCAGTCACATTATTGTGTGATAAAGAGACATATAATAAATTTAAATAGAATAAACTTTAAATTTTTAAAAAGTTAAAAGAAACCACAAATACTTTATCGCTTTGACCGTAAATATTGCCTCTTTCTTTACCTTTTTTTTTTTTTGGAAGCCTATTTCTTTACTTAGAACCCCTACATCTTCATCACTTCCTATAGCCTTTTACAAATGAATAATGTGATCCACAAATGTTTAAAATTATTAAAACATTGACATTTTATTGATGGAAGTACCACCAAAGTTGTAACTTAAGTTGAGGAACCAATTTTGTATAATTTTTATCTATAAGAGGTAATATAAGACAAACCATGTTCTTTGAGGGTTAAATTTGAAACTAACGTAAAAAGATGGAAATATATAAATCTATTAAATTGCTACATTTATATACATACTAGTCTCAAAGCAGTCAAATCATCATCAAACTTTTTTTTCTTTTTTATTTTTTGCTGGATTACGTTTGTTATTTTTCATCTTCTTTGTATTCACACGTGGCCAACATATATAGATTAGGGATGACGAATTTATAGCAGACAGGTCATCATTAAACTTTTTTTCCTTTTTGGCATTATTCTTTTTTATTTTTTAGTCGGCTACGTTTGTCGCTTTTCATCTTCTTTGTATTCATACGTGGCCAACGTATATAATTTAGGGATAATAATTTTACCCATTTTCATTTGATAAAGAAATTTATTTTTTAATTTGAATTATGATAATTCGTTTTTTGATTCGAATCATGATTCGTTATAATATTTTTTTTCATAAAAAAATATACATAAATTAAAAATAATTTTAATCACATAATTTTAATCTATGAACTAAACGAACTCATTTATCCGTTATAAGCCGCCTTAAACGAGGCGAAGAAAATATAGTTTAAATAGAGTAGGTTATAAACGGGGTTAAAAGTTTAACCTGGGCAGAAAAAAACATTTTATAATGTAATATAAATATATCTTTTGAATATTTTTATTCTTATTACTAGCTGAGATTGGCACGTGCAAGGCATGTGCGCTTTAGCCTAAGCTGTATTTAAATTACCTTAGAGATTATATTAGATAAAACACGCTAAAGAATTACAATCTGAGAGCACTTTATTTTTATTAGAAAATGAGATGGCACGTGACA